CAGAGATGAGGTGCAGATAAGCTGAGCTGGAATTCAGGATGAACTAGAGAGTGGAGTGAACTAGGGATACAGTTGTGGCTGGAGCTAAGCTAGAGCCAGGGTTGAAATAGAAGTACAGCAAGGGCTGAGCCTGGGGGTAAGGCTGAGCTGGAACTGGGGCTGAATTGAAGCTGAGGTTGAACTAGGGGTACAGAGAGAGCTGAGGCTGGCACTGGGGCTAGAGCTGAGGCTGCAGCCAAGACTGGGGTTGGGCTGGGGCTGAGCTAGAGCTGAGGCTGAGCTAGAACTGGGGTTGGGCAGGGGCTGAGCTAGAGCTGGGGTTGGGGCTGAGGCTGAGCTGGATCTGGGGCTGAGCTAGAGCTGGGGTTGGGCAGGGGCTGAGCTAGAGCTGGGTTTGGGGCTGGGGCTGAACTAGAGCTGGGCCTGGGACTGAGCTAGAGCTGGGATTGGGGCAGGGGCTGAGCTAGAGCTGGGTTTGGGGCTGGGGCTGAACTGGAGCTGGGCCGGGGACTGTGCTAGAGCTAGAGCTGTGACTGGGGTTGAGCTAGAGCTGGGGTTGGGGCTAAGGCTGAGCTGGGTCTGGGCTAGGGCTGAGCTGGAGCTGGAGCTGGGGCTGAGCTAGAGCTGGGGTTGGGGCTGGGGCTGAGCTAGAGATGGAGTTGGGGCTGGGACTGAGCTGGAGCTGGGCTGGGGCTAAGCTAGAGCTGGGGTTGGGGCTGAGCTAGAGCTGGGGTTGGGGCTGGGGCTGAGCTTGAACTGAGATTGGGGCTGAAGCTGAGCTAGAGCTGGGTTTGGGGCTGGGGCTGAGCTAGAGCTGGGGTTGGGGCTGGGGCTGAGCTGGATCTGGGGCTGAGCTAGTGCTGGGGTTGGGGCTGGGGCTGAGCTGGGGCTGGGCTGGGACTGAGCTAGAGCTGGGGTTGGGGCTGGGGCTGAGCTGGGGCTGGGGCTGGGACTGAGCTGGGGCTGGGGCTGGGACTGAGCTAGAGCTGGGGTTGGGGCTGGGGCTGAGCTGGGTTGGGCCTAGGGCTGAGCTTGAACTGAGGTTGGGGCTGAAGCTGAGCTAGAGCTGGGTTTGGGGCTGGGGCTGAGGCTGAGCTGGATCTGGGGCTGAGCTAGAGCTGGGGTTGGGGCTGGGGCTGAGCTTGAACTGAGATTGGGGGTGAAGCTGAGCTAGAGCTGGGTTTGGGGCTGGGGCTGAGCTAGAGCTGGGGTTGGGGCTGGGGCTGAGCTGGATCTGGGGCTGAGCTAGAGCTGGGGTTGGGGCTGGGGCTGAGCTGGGGCTGGGGCTGGGACTGAGCTAGAGCTGGGGTTGGGGCTGGGGCTGAGCTGGGGCTGGGGCTGGGACTGAGCTAGAGCTGGGGTTGGGGCTGGGGCTGAGCTGGGTTGGGCCTAGGGCTGAGCTTGAACTGAGGTTGGGGCTGAAGCTGAGCTAGAGCTGGGTTTGGGGCTGGGGCTGAGGCTGAGCTGGATCTGGGGCTGAGCTAGAGCTGGGGTTGGGGCTGAGGCTGAGCTAGAGCTGGGGTTGGGGCTGAGGCTGAGCTGGATCTGGGGCTGAGCTAGAGCTGGGGTTGGGGCTGGGCTGAGCTGGGGCTGGGCTGGGACTGAGCTAGAGCTGGGGTTGGGGCTGGGGCTGAGCTGGGGCTGGGGCTGGGACTGAGCTAGAGCTGGGTTTGGGGCTGGGGCTGAGCGAGAGCTGGAGCTGGGGCTGGGCCTGGGGCTGAGCTACAGCTGGGTTTGGGGCTGGGACTGAGCTGGGGCTGGGGCTGGGGCTGAGCTATGGCCAGGGCTGAACCTCAGCTACAGCTGGGTTTGGGGCTGGGACTGAGCTATGGCTGAGGCTGGAGCTGAGCTAGAGCTGGGGTTGGGGCTGAGGCTGAGCTACAGCTGGGGGTGGGCTAGAACTGGGTTTGGGGCTGGGGCTGAGCTAGAGCTGGGGTTGGGGCTGGGACTGAGCTATGGCCAAGGCTGGGGCTGAGCTAGAGCTGGGGTTGGGGCTGGGACTGAGCTAGAGCTGGGGTTGGGGCTGAGGCTGAGCTAGAGCTGGAGCTGGGCTAGAGCTGGGTTTGGGGCTGGGACTGAGCTAGAGCTGGAGCCAAGGCTGGGGCTGATCTAGAGCTAGAGCTGATCTAGAATTGGAACTGGGTCTGAGCCAGGGCTGGAGCTGAACCTAAGCTAGAGACATGACTGAGTGGGAGCCAGAGATCCTACTGAGGGTGTCTTAGAGCTGAAGCTGAACCAGAGCTAGAGCTGGCTAGAAATGGGGCTTGGAATGAGCTAGACCTAGAGCTGGTGGAGCTAGAGTTGAGGTTGGGGCTGAGCTAGAGCCAGAGATAGGACTGAATAAGAACCGGAGCTGGGTTACAGTTTCTACTGAGGGTCCCTGGAGCTAGGGCTAAATCAGAGCTAGAAATGTGAATGAACCAGAGCCAAAGATGGCAGCAGACAAGAGCTAAGGCTACTGGAGTTGTGGCTATACTTGAGCTAGAAATAGAGGTAGAACTGGAACTAACATGATGATGCTCTGGAGCTGAGCTGGAGCTTGGTCTGGAGCTAATTCTGAGTTGAGGACAGAGTTGAGCCTAAGCTGGAGCTAAAGGTCTTACTGAGCTTATGTTGGAGCCGGAGCTGAAGCCAGAGATTGGGCCAGGCTACAACAGGGGCTATGGAAGAGCTAGAACTGGGGAGGAAGCTTGAGTTACAGCCAGGACTTTTCAGAAGAGCTGGAGCAAGAGCTGAGGCTGTGCTGGTGCCATTTTTATTGTTCTGGTGTGTCCAACTCCTTGTAACCCCATTTGGGATTTTGTTGGCAAAGGTGCTAGAGAGGTTTGCCGTCTCCTTCTGTAGCTCATTTTACAGATGATGGAACTGAGCTCAGATAAGTTTGGCGGCGCTAGTTCAGATCCATGCAGGCCTCCTGCTAGAGCTGGATTGAGCTGGACTGGGCTAAAATTAGCCCAAAAAACTATCGCCTTACCCAGTAAGCTGAGTTGAACGGAGCTGAGGCTTTTCTCAGCTGGCCCTGTGTTGGAACTGGGCATATCTAGGCTGGCCCAAACTGACTAATGTGCTTGAAAGCTAAACAAGAAGGTACTGATCCCCTGCTGAAGTTGTGCTGGATGGTCTGAGGCCATCTTCAGTCTTTTCTAGACTGGGTTGAAATGAGCTGAGCTAGAAAGAACTGAGTTTGGGTCAGTCCATACAAAAGTCTTCAGCTCACCTGAGCCTGGGATTACTTTGTGCAGATACCCCAGTAAAAGCTGAGCTAAGCTAAGCTGAGATGAGGAGCTCCTACTGAGGCTGGTCTTATTTTTAACTGAGTCTGTCTGTGAATTCCCTCTAGGACTGAGCTATTTTGCTCCATATTCACAGAGCTTTGCTGATGAGTTGTGCATGAAACCCATGTTCTAGGCCCATTCCTATAGAGCTTTTACTCACATCACCCGCCTCCTCAGGATAATGCTAGGGTCTTGAAAAGATGAGTCACCTTTCTTTTCTCCTGGCCTAAAAAGATGTTACATTTTTGATTCTGAGGATTGGAGGAAGGCTCTAGGGAAATAAATTCCACCACCACCACCACCACCACCACTACACACACACACACACACACACACACACACACACACATTGTCTAGATTTAGCCAGGAAGGAGCTTTTCAACATAAGTAGGTGACTAGTTCTCCAGTTCTGTACAACTAGCACTTCAGACTTCATTGGATCAATGAAAAGTGAAAAGCTCCCTTTGGCATACAGAATGTGTTCCCAGCAACTGACAGATTTTAGCTAAGAGGGTTTGGCTTCTCTCTCTGTAGAGTAGTGTCTACGGATCTGGGTGATCTGAGAACAGGACCAAAGTAGTAAAAAGGATAGCCTTGGCCCAGACAGAGCTTAACTTAACTAATCATATGATCCTCCACTTTTGACACTGACCAGCACTGGCCTTTTCTTGCCACAAGATTCTAGGGGTTCTCAATGTTTTTTGAGTCATGAAATCTTTATCTGGTGACATCCATGGACTTCTTAAAGTAAAAAACATAAAATAAAATCTGTAAGATTACAAATGAAATCAATTATATTGAAATACAATGAATAATTTTTTTAATTTCATGGACCTCTGGTTAAATTTCCCTGTTTAGATGAGGGTTTTCAGGATTGGGATTTCCCTAGGGCTGATCTCTTCAGAAATATGCATCCTCGTGTGTGTTGCTTTCACTGGCAATGCTGCATCGTCTTTTGCTTGGATGCTAAGCCTTGTAGGGAGCCCAGGCTATGGTATCTAGCTCCTTTTTGGGGTGGATGAGCCAAAAATGGGGCATATGCACAGAACACCTGAAAAGGAAGGTATGATATACACTCATCTAGAGAACTTTGAATAATTAGCTCACTACTCTTAAACTGCTCCAGCTTCTCATCTATAACTTCACAGACAAGGAAATTAGATCTTTTCTCCTCTTTTGGTGTCAGCCCTCTTGAAAAGCCTTTAATTTTTAGCATCTTTCTTCTGTTTTGTCCTCCCCTATTCTCTTCTTCAGCTAAGACAGCTGCACCAAACCTCTACTTACTCTCCTCCTGTGGGAGTTCTCAAATGAAGGATGCTTCTGTGGCTGTGGGTTGTTTGGCTAAGGATTTTCTACCTGGATCCATAAACTTCTCCTGGAGCTACCAAAACCGAAGTGCTGTGAGTACCACAGATTTGAAGATCTTCCCATCCCTTATGAGTGGGGCACATACACAGCCACCTCACAGGTGATACTCCCTGCCAATGATGTCTTCCAAGGACAAGATAGCTACTTGGTATGCAAGACCCAGCATCCCAAAGGCAACAAGGAAATTGAAGTTCCACTTCCAGGTAAGATCCGAAGTACAACTCCTTCTTTATCTTTTCTCTCCTCCTTACGCTTGCTTTGGTTCCATGAAGCAGAACTAGCCTGCAGTTTTGAGGGGAACAAAACATCCCAGCAGATAGCACCAAATGTATGTCCCATACATAAGCATTTTATACACACACATACACAACAAATATATAGACACACCAAAGTGTATACACATACACCCATATACTTGCCTATGCTCCTCCCTAGCTATAATGGGCTCAAAGAAGAGGTCTGATTTAAGGGAGCTGTTGGGCTCATCTCCATTCTAGATGCTGATCCCTCTATTCCATTTCTATCCTCAGAATCATCCCTAATGAAAGTAACCAGGCACAGAAACTCAAAGGGTCAAATAAGGGGAGGACTCCTCCAGACAGGCAAAGCTAGTCAAAGCAAAAACTTTCTTTTGTTTAATTGTGCCTCATCATGACAGGCTCCTAACTCCCCCCTTTCCTGGCTTGTGTTCCTATTCAGATCCCAGCACCAGTTCCCCTAATGTGACTGTGTATATTCCACCCCGTGATGCATTCTCCAGCTCTGGCCTAAGAACATCTAAGCTCATCTGTCAAGCCACCAACTTCAGGCCAAACAAGATCAAGTTAACATGGCTTCGAGAGGGCAGGCCACTTCGGTCAGGTGTCTCTACAGGTCAAGTCCTGCCTGAAGGCTCTGGGACTTACTTCCTGCAGAGCAGCCTGACTGTCAGTGAAAATGACTGGCTCAGCCAAAATACATTCACCTGCCAGGTAGCACATGAAAGGGCCCAATTCCAGAAGAATGTTTCCTCAACCTGTTTCACTGGGGGTAAGTGATGTTCAGGATGGAATTCCTTGGAAGTGAGTTGGAATTCCCAGCCTTCTCACTCCTGAGATTATACCTAATAATCCTATTTATAGGACAGCCCCAGAGAAGTATTCTTCCCCAGGAAATCCTCCCTAGCTTAGGACTTCGACCTAGAGGAAAGATGGGCTAACATGCCCAGAAAGACCCTAGCATGCTGATAATATAGATTCCAAATCCCAAAGTTTTAGTCCTGGTGATCTGGAACTGAGATCAGCTCTGCTAAACATGAATCTAGTTGCTCCAAGAGCCTCAAACACTGATGATGGCTGTTTAACCACTTCTCATCCTACTTCATAAGTGGCTGAGATCAATGACGCTTAATAGGATCTCTTTCTCTTTATTTACTTGTGTGGAGGCATGTGGGGGAAGACTGCACAAAAATAATTCTAGATCTCTTCAGCTGGAGAATGTTCACATTCTCCTTCTCTTATGAAGAATGAATGAAAAGAAATAGAAGCATTCTGCAGCATGAGCAGTTAGATTAGAAATAAGAAAGAGAGTCCTAGGGCATTGCTCAGCAATCTTTGGAGTTGGTCACTGAGTAAAGGTAGGAATGGTCTTCCCTGGAGACCAGGAGAAACATGGGAAATTCCCTTAGAGATGACTTCCTGCCTGGAAGAATAGTTCCAAAGAACTCTACAGAATTTATCAGACCCATAAGCTCAGATTGCTGGCCACTTTATCAAAAAAGAAGAAAGCACTTAAACCCATAGTGAGTATGCAAGAAGGAGGAGGTGTTAAAGGGGAAGAGAAGATTAAGGGAGAAGAAGAATAGAGCCATAGTAAACATTACTGGTATTTGGAGGGCCTGTACAATTTTGTCTCAATTTGCCTCCTTTCGGAAATTCAATGTAACTTTTCCTTTGACATAGAACCAGAATCACCCATTGAAGTCTTTGTCATCCCCCCCTCCTTCGCAAGCATCTTTCGTACCAAATCAGCCACATTAACCTGTATGGTCACAAACCTTCCCACTCCTCAAAATCCAAATATTTCCTGGACCCGGGAGAATGGACAGCCTCTGGACACCACCATTAAGATGTCCCTCAGCCACCTCAATGGCACTTTTAGTGCTGAGGGAATAACCACAGTCTGTGCAGAAGAATGGGATTCCGGGGACATATTCAGATGCACCGTGATTCATCCTAACTATCCTGAACCCTTGAAGAAAGAAATCTCTAAGCCAAAAGGTAAGGATCCCAACTTTCTCCTCCTTCTTGGCATCTTTCCTCCCTTCACTAACTCTGCAATTGGCCCATCCAGAGTCAGATGATACTATCTTGGATGCCATGTGGGGGGGGCAGAAAGGGTGGTTTAAACTCTTGTGAAGTCTCTAGAAAAACTTTGAGTTCGTTTTCCTAAATCTAGAAAAACCAACCCAGAGTACCCCAGTCTTTTATCGCTAAAGCAGAAGCAGCAAAGTTTTTGCATGAAAGGTCCAATAGATCTTCCTCTTCCTCTTATTCCTCCTTCCCACCCTTATTCCCATCCTTCCACATGTTGCCCTTGGATTACTGGGAAATACTGAAATAATCTTTCAGTATGAATCCCATCACACATAACTCTTTATCTCTAGGATTTCAGAGGAGCCAGGAGCCTCTTTTCCAACTTTCTGCTAGTAGACCCCAGATTCACCACAAGACTCTCCTCCCTTGGCTCGTGTCACGCTTTTAAGCTGTGACTATGAGCTCTCTACTCTCAGACCTTCCATTTTTCAGCCTACCTCATCCAATAACCTCTTTGTTTACAGGTTCTACCAAGAAAGCACCAGTTGTCTATCTATTGCCTCCAACTTCTGAAGAGCTGAGCCTGAGGGAATCAGCTACCCTAACCTGCCTGGTGAAGGACTTCTATCCAGCAGATGTGTTTGTCCAGTGGCAACACAAAGGACAGCCTATACCCTCAGAGAAATATGTCACCAGCAGCCCCCAGCAGGAGCCCCAGAAAGACGGTCTCTACTTCTCCCACAGCACCCTGACAGTGCCTGAGAAACACTGGAATGCGGGGGATTCCTATACCTGTGTGGTGGTTCATGAAGCACTACCCTTTTCGGTGACTGAGAAGACCGTGGACAAGTCCACTGGTAAACCCACCTTCGTCAATGTCTCCCTTGTGCTATCTGATGCAACCAATGCCTGCTACTGAGAGGGTGTGGTCTTGGCCAATCTCTTTTTACTGTCCCTACAGGTCTTACTCTCACTATCTAGCTCATTCGTGGGGCAGATTCAGGGGGCTTCTGTGCCAACTGAATTCCCCAAAGTAGTGTGTAAGATCATGTGACTGAAATAAGATACTGCATTTTATAAAAATTAGAAATAAAAATAATCAACTTTACAAAGAGGCATTGGTTCTGGTTCTGTAGTAAACAATGGTATCTGACTGGCCCTAAGCTTCTCTTTGTGCAACATTCCTTTCCTGACCCTTTTCCCTCATATCACCTCTCAAATTATTTGCCTACACACACAAACACCACCTTAGGCCTTGCCTCCCTCACTCAACCTCATCACCTTTCCCCAACTTTACTCTTCACCTCAATCCCATGTTGCTCAGATGCTATAAATGCAGCTCATATTTCTAAGTCCTTGAAAACAAATTTTGGCAGAAAAAAAGCTCATAACATATATACTCGTATATGGATACACAGGAACATAAACGTGTACCCAGACACACACACACACACACACACACACACACACACATATGCATCATCATCATCATCATCATCATTATCACTAGACTAAGTCAGTGGAAACCTCTTCCCTGGAAGGGAAGTATGAGTATTTGTAGAATTTTGACAATCCTCCTATCATGTGGGGTCTATGCAGTTTTCAGCCAAACACATCATGTTGTCCCTTAGTAGGTGTAATGTGCATTTTTCCACTTAAAATATTCAGCCTTCTGGGAGAGAGGGGAAGGAAGCAATGCCTCTTACAATGGCCTCAGTTGTATTAACTCCACATCTTAGCCTAATTATATAGAATTCAAAACCCTCTGCCCCCCTGATCATTCATAACACTCTCTTTAATTCCCTAGTCTAAGCTTTGAGTGGAAACCTAGCTATTTCATCTCCTCATGTCCAAGGGAATGGGACACAGGGTCCCAGGGATGAGTAATCCTAGACTCAAGGAAATAAGTCAGTTCAAGATGATGCCTCCATTTCTTCTCCCAGTATACCCCATACATGATGATCCTGACCTAGACCTTTAGTGTCTCTCCCTAGGTAAGTGCATCTTATCCAAAGAGTACAAGCTGATGGAACTACAATAGGAGAAGGCTAATCTTTAAGATTGAGAATAGAGTTACTACCAAATGTGACCTTGTTCAATGACCTCCATGGAAGGAGTCGTGGGTCACCTTTTCAAAGAAATATCAAAGAGGAAAGAGAAATATCAAAGAGAAAAGAGAAACATCTAAGGGATCCCAGTTGAATAAGCCCACCTTTCTGGCTTCCTTGTTAGAAGCTACATGAGGATGGAATTTTAGGCAGCCCTAGAAAAACCAATGACTCTTTATCCAAAGAACTTATGGCTCTGTTGGAGCTTGTAGGTGACAAAGGAAGAGAAAACTTATGCGGAAATTGCCTGCTGTCCAATTCCAAATAGCTTATTGTCCAATAGAAGTCCAAACACAGTAATGTACACTTGGGAACACAATGCAATAGTTCATTAGGGCAAAATTAATATTTTCTATGAGGACTCTGCCCTGAGACACAGTCATCTTAGCAAAATGCAGGTCCAGGCAACCTAAAGGACATCTGATCCTAATGAAAATGATGTGTTGACCTACAAACAATATTTACTTTTATGTAGAAAGTCAATATTCTCTAATTTGCCTGAATAGCACATAAGCTAAAGAAACCATTTTGCTTCCCTAGCTAAACTTCTTCTCTGAAATTTCCAAATAAATCCATTCCTAAACACATCCCAGATCCGTCCTTGGGAACTCAGCAAGAAAATCTAAATTCCCAAGAGTCCAGTTGATCCTTTACCCCGAGCTCAATTCCGTTATAGCAGAAGCACCTGAACATCTTGCACAAAATTAAGTCTATAAGATGTCTTCCTTAATGTAACCCAACCTTAGTTTCTCCAACAGGTCAGGCTCTATTGCTCTCGGTAATAATCAGCAGTGATTGTTGATAAGTACTATGGTCTAAACATAGAATCGGGAGGGACTTCAAATCCTTCCTTCTGTGTAATCATGAGTTGTTAAGGAAAAACAAAGCTGCGAAATCCTCTTAGATTACATACACAAACAGTCATAGACAGAAAGCTTATTTCCTGTTGAAAAGCTGAGAGAGATAAGTTGTGCTACAGAAATGTGAGGACAGAAAAAATAGAACAGAAACTGAGAATTGGTAAACAATAGAAATGATGCCTTAAACAGTATTTAGTCTTTAGTTTGAATGTTGGGCTGTTATCTTTCTCCCTACATATCCAATTCCCAAGCAACTTTATGATCCAAGTGTTGTTTACCGGTTTAGTCTTTCTATAGAAAGCTACAAGTACTGCCTCCAACCATTACTGAAGGGGGAAGAAGGAAATAGAAGATGGTATCATCTATCATTAGTTTTTAGTTTCTTTATTTGCCCCACACTTATATGGTCATGGAAAGATATCCTCAGCCAGCACAATAGATTTCAACTACATTCTACTTCTTTTCTTTTGGATAACTGGATAGGGTAACATGGGGCCTATTATGACGAGAAAAACACTAAGATACCTCCTATATAACACCTTAACTCATTGACTCTCACAGTAGACTGAAGTGAGCTCTGTGCTCACTTTCCCCAGGGCAAGTCTTCTCTTCAACCCTTGATTCTCCAAAGAAAATATCTTTCATAATCACATTAGGAAAGGGAAGTCTTGAAATCAACCATAATTCATTAAACTCTAGGCTCATCTATTCCCAACCCCCTACCGCCAGTCCAGAGTTCATATACATTTTATTCCTCTCATCCAAAGCTTAGTCATTTAAGAAAATTTGATGACCACATCGATCCTCAAGTTTTCTCAGATCCAAATAAGAATGCAGAAGAGCCTACGTGAACCAGGAAAATCCTAAACCAAGACTTTCATTTGCAGGAACAGACACATAGATACGCACATGCACATATTCTGACACACAGATGCACTCACCTCTCACATATATGACCTGCATTAATTATCATCATCATCATCATCATCATCATCTCTCTCTCTTCGTTTCTGTTATTAATCCCACTTGTTCTCACTGCTCTGGTCATCCATAAGAGCAGCACAGAGTGAAATCACTCTCAGAACTCATTTTAAATCAGAATTCATTTTTAAATAGTGACTTTAATCTTGTTATCAGCACTCTATAGGGATCCTTGTGTGACTGCAGGGAAAGTTTCCTTTTTTAACTGCATTTTCATTCCCTTCTCTGAGTTTCATGTCACACTAAGTCACACTAAGAACATATTTTCAATTGTATTTTTCCAAGTTTCTGGCTCCTCCCATACTTATAACCTTCCTATTCCTAGATGCCTGTCTCTGTTCCTGGCACAAGGACCATAGACTTCCTCTAGAAAATGTCATCTTCATAGAAAACACATCTAAGAGATGCCAATTTAGCAGTTTATTCCTAGTTAACATCCTCTCCCAAGTAGCAAAATCTTCTGTCTAGTCCCAGCCCCATAGTGACTGAATCTAACACTGTTCTTTCTGTTCTCTATCATTAAAACCCATAAAGAAGGGGAAGTTAATGCTGAAGAAGAGGGATTTGACAACCTGTGGACAACAGCTTCTACTTTCATTGTCCTCTTCCTGCTGAGTCTCTTTTACAGTACAACAGTCACTTTGTTCAAGGTAAGAGGACATGGATGCATACATTTTGAACAAGCGTGTGCCCAAGGAAGTATGACATAGGCACTCTTTCTTTCTTTTTAGCTAAGTTATGATGTTATTAAGTTATTAGATATTTAGGTAAACCTGAAATGTAGTTATATATGTATTTAGGCAACAATACTAGAGATTTCTAATGTGAAATATGCTTTGCCTTTAATATTATTATTATTATTATTCACAATAACTTTAGACATTTACAAAGCATTTCGTATTTTTACTGCTATAAATTACTACTTGTTTGAGTATGCTTGTTTCTTATTTTGCTGTTATGTTCCCTTTGACTGTTTTGTGTTTCATGTATATTTGTTCATTGTTTTATGTAGTTATATGTGTGTGTGTGTGTGTGTGTGTATACTCCTGCTCACAATTAAGTTGCATCTTATCTATAAGGTATGTAACTTTCTAGTCTTCTTGTACCTAACACTCCTCTGCATATCCTTCCATCCGGCGACGTCAGCCTCTTTGCTTTTCCTTGAACAGGACATTGCATCTTCAGACTCTACTCGTTTTCACTGTCTTTCTCCTGTGCCTGGAATGCTCTTCCTCCTCATCTCCTTCTACTAGCTTCTCTAGCTCCCTTTAAGTCATAATTTAAATGCCGTCTTCTGATGGAAGCCTTTCCCAACCCCTCTTCAGTCTTCTCTTTGCTAATTTCTAATTTATTATATGTTTACATATATATACACACAAAATATATTATATATGTAGTTTATGCGTATTTGTTTGCTTGTGGTCTCCTCCATTAGATTTGGAGCTCCTTGAGGGCAGGGACTATCCTTTCTTTTTGTATCACCGGAGCTTAGCACGAACCTGGCATATAGTAGGTGCTTAACAAATATGTATTGACTGACTTAAGGTCTCATTTTAAAAATATGTAGGGGTTATGTTTGGGCCAACAATGTCACAATTTTAGATCTCTGTAGGAAACACAGTTTGACATATTCCTCCATATCTATCTGGAAAAGATCTCAGAGCCCACCTAGTACAAACCCATTATTTTACAGATGAGGCAATAGAGGCCCAGAGAGGTTAAGTATCTTGCCTAAGGTAACACAGTATGAAGTGTCAGAGGTGGGATTTGAACTCAGATCCTCTGATTTCAGAGTCAATGGATTTCTACTATACCTCTTTCATTATTCCAAACCAGGGGTGAGGAGCCTACAGCCTCGAGGCCACATGTGGCCTTCTAGGTCTTTGGTGCTGCCTTTTCACTGAGTCCAAGTTTTACAGAACAAATCCTTTTCTTAAGGCAATTTGTTCTGTGAAGTTTGGATTCTGTCAAAGGGCCACACTTGAGGACCTAGAGGGCCACATGTGGCCTGGGGCCACTGGTTCCCCATCTCTGTTCCAAACTATCTCCAATGGATTCACAAAGGTCCTTTTCTGCCTCTGATATTCTTTCCCAAAAAATTGTCAAGAGAAAAACCATATTTTTACTATTATTATTAATATTGTTCTTATTCATAATAACATTAGACATTTACAAAAGGCCTTATATAAATTATGTCATGAGGTAGATACCACAGGTATCTGTTTTGAAGATGAAGAAACTGAGTCACAGAGAGATTAAAATGACCTACATACTGTCACATAGCTAGTAGGTGTAAGGTGGAATTTGTACATAGCTCTGTCTAACCTCAAATCTAGCATACTAATGCCATTTCTTTATTATTCACAGGTGAAATAAATTCATGCTTGAAAGGCAAACATCTGAAAACAAAGCGCTTGAACCAAAAGAAGGGGTAATTCCCTGAAGGCCTGAGCCATGCTTCCCCTGCTGACTGATACAATTCACCCTTTCAACAACTCTTGGAAAACCAAGAGGCTCCCAAGCTTGTGGGGGTGATGGAGAGGGACGTGGGGAGAACTTAACTTTTGATTTCCATGTGGTTTTCCCACATTCTCTTATTACTTTATGTAGAACTTACGTCCTGCAACCTCTATCATGTCCTCCCTCCCAAAATTAGGATTTACAAGGAGAAATGCATATTTCTTAAGCACAACTAATTGTATTTTACTAGTTAACAAAACCAGTAAAACATAAAAGCTGTTATAGACCACAATGTCATTTTGAAATAAAAAAGTATATTATATTGTCACAATGGCTTTTATTAGAAACACTAAAGACTAAAAGGCCCTGAAAATCCTTTTCCTGTCCTGGGAAGTCATTGAGGGATGCTCTCAATTCATCAGAGATTCACGTACGGCTATGTTATTCCAAAACTTCAAATCCAGTTTTGCTTTGCATTAGGAAAGCCAAATTTGCAAATAACACAAAGTTAGAAAAGAGAGTTTATATACTGAATGACAGAATAAAGATAGGTTGGAAACAAATATGATAAAATCCAACACTTGAATTCAAAACATCAATAAGGAAAAACTGCAACAGAAGAGGTCAGGTGTAACTAGATAACCAGTCATATGAAAAAAGCCTGGAAGGTTCAAGGACCTGTAAATTCAGCGTTTCAGAAATGTGATGTGGCATTCAAAAGAATTAATGTGAACTCAGCCTAAATTAGCAGCAACATAGAGCTAATCTGGAGGAGGTGGAGGGGTGAAGTGTGAAAAAGTCTTGTTCTACACTGCCCTAGTCAGACCATATCTAGAATATTATGTTCATTACTGCATTTATTAAAAGGATGCTGACAAGCTGCAATGCAATCAGGATAGTAAAGGCACTTGAAATCAAGTTATGCAAAGATAAGTTAAAGGAATAAGGAATGTGCAGACTGGAGAAAGATTAATCAGTCATTCAAGAAGCAGTGTGCTAGGATCTGGAAGGGCCAAAGAAAGGCCAAAAACAAACAAAAACAAAAAACAGTTCCTGCCATCAAGAAGAAGCTTACATGACAATTTTCTTCAAATACTTGAAATACTTTATAAATAAAGCACTTTACTTATAAATAAATAAATATACATTATATGTAGTCTTGTGTGCATGTCCTCAGACTTCCAAACTTATTTTGTCTCTTGGAGATTGTTAAATGCAACTTGTCTAAGAGGGAGAAGGGACTACATTCTAAAAAACAATTTTGGAACTATGGAAATGATAATTGGAGAGAAAATTATTCACGCATAACAGATATTTTTTACTGCTAGTTTTATGTCATGTTTATTGAACACTTTGACAAATTAAAGACATGGCAAGGTTTTGATATACTTGTCTTCAGACATAAATGAAACACCTCTAAACACTGATGCGACGCAGACAGATTCTCAGGTATGTGTTGATACTTTTTTTTTAGTTGGGGTAAGGGGAAGGTGGGGGACATTTCAGCCCTCAGACGTGTTTATCTTTGCTATATTGGCATAATTGGTGGTTTGTACGTTCAACAGTAACATTTTAGCAAGTTTTATCAGTCAGTAATATTTTTGCCTCATAAATAGGAATTAAAAATCACATAAAAGAATAGATTAAAATTTATTGAATATAAAGATGGAACTTCAAGTCACTGTAGTTTTAGTAAATGCTTACTGTATTAGTTATGGTTCAAGTACTGCATATGCTGTGTATATTCTGATTTTGTTAAAAGAAAAAATTAAACTAAAATAAACTAAAAGTTAAACTAAAAAAAGAAAAAAATCAGAAGCAATGGCTTTTATTATTTTTTTATTGCACACTCCTATCAGTAAGACATTTCTAACATGGACCCCTTACGTGCAATACTGTTATGTACATTATAAAGCATATATAAAAAATATGAATTTTAAAATATGAGTTAAAGTTGAAATTAATGACATTTTTTAAAATAATTTTTATTTTCTTTATTAAAAGTAGCCAGGCAACTAGATGGCACAGTGCATAGAGCACTGGCCCTGAAGTCAGGAAGACTTGAGTTCAAATTTGGCCTCAGAGCAGACACTTGACATTTACTAGCTGTGTGATCCTGGGCAAGTCACTTCACCCTATTGCCTCACCAAAAAAAAAAAAAGCCCACCTTATTTCAGGAGCAGCTAGGTTGCACAGTGGATAGAACGCTGGAGTCAGGAGGACCTGAGTTCAAATCTGGTCTCAGACCAGACACTTGACACTTACTAGCTGTGTGACCCGGGGCAAGTCACTTAACTCCAATTGCCCGGCCCAAAAAAAGAAAGTAGCCAAAAACACTTTTTTGCTCCTATTAAAATAATAATAATAATAATAATAATAATAATAATAATAATAATAATAATATATTTAACAAAAATATTATACTAATCTATGTATTCTGGTTCTTTCCCCACTGCCTTCAAAATTGCCTACATCTTTCCCATCCTTTAAAAAAAGTTCACTAAAAAAAAAAGCATTCACTAGATCCTATCCTCTCCTCAAATTGTCATCCAATATTCTTTTCACCCTTACTTAGCCAAATTTCTTGAAAAAGCTTGCTGCCCCTTGCTGCTTCCATTTTCTGTTCTCTCACTCACTCTCAGCCTCATTACTCAATTGAAACTCCCTTCCCCAGAGTTACCAATTGTAGTAATAAAGGGGAGTCCACATGAGAAGTGCCATCTTTTGGGACACAGGGACAGCCTTAACAAACTTTATTGCTGCTCACAAGAGAAGGCAGCAAACATTTGCTAGTACTGATGGATAGCGTCAGTGTGCAGCCTCCATGCCTGCAATGGACAGCACACAGAGATGTGCAGCCACACTCCAGCTGAAGGCCCAAAGACCCTCAGGATTCAACTTGGGACAAAGAGCCAATGGGTAACCGCCTTGTTATTCAATGAACCAGTAAAACTGAGGTGTTTGGTTTTTTTTAATTACTTAAAAGCAAAGAGAAATGAGGAACAGGGAACTAGTCATTTCTACCTTCACAAGATCTCTCATTTCTAGCTACTTCTCTCCACTCACAAACAAGCCCTCATCACCCTAAATCTAGATTATTTCAAATTTCATAATTGGTGTCTCTTCTTCAAATCTTTCTGTCACTCCAATCCAATCCTGCAATCTATTGACAGAGTGCTGTTCTTTACACACACAAATCTGATCATGTGACAAAATCTATTCAATCAGTTCAAGTGGTTTCCTATTACCTTTATGATAAAATATAACCTTCTCAGTTTGACTTTAAAGCCCTGGCAGCCTATCTCAAACTTTTTTCTAGCCTTATCTCAGGAAAGGGAATAAACATTTATATTAGCTTACTAATATATTATTAAGCATTATATTAGCTTATAGCTCCTACCATGTACCAGGCACTGTGCTAAGCACTTTTCACACACATGATCTCATCTGATCTTCACAAAATCCTTGGGAGATAGACACTATTATCATCTCCATTTTTTACAGTTGAGGAAACTAAGGCAAAAAGAAGTTAAGTGAAGTTAAGCTCTGAGACCGAATTTGAACTCAGTGCTTCCTGACCCAGTATTCCATCCACCACTGCACCACCAGCTGCTTCATTGCAGATAGCTTTTTAGACTCTGGACTCTGAAATCGGACCAAACTAGCCTTCTCCCTGTTCCTTACACACTGGTAACATTGCTTTTACCCTGGCTCTTCCCTCATAACTAGAATAAGCTCTCTCCTTACTTTCTTCTTCCTTAAAAATTTTTTTCAAGAAGCCTTTTCTGGCTTCCCCATCTGTTATTATCCTTCCTCCCAAGGTGCCTTATATTTACCTACTGTGCATATATTTGTATTAAATATAACTGTACATTTAAATATAATTAATAATAATATATAACATATATTTTACATGTGTATAAATGTAACATATAAATATGTGCTATATATGTATATGTATATGTGTGCGTGTGTGTGTGTATATATATATATATTTCTATGTGCACTTTTCTCTCCTCCATAGAATGTTAGCTTCTTACAAGCGAGGGTTGTTTCATCATATCTCCCCAGGGCCCAGCGGGGAGCTGGACACAAGGTAGGTACTTGATAAACACTTGATTGAGGAATTATTCAAAATATTGGGGAGGCATTATGTGTGTTTTTACAAATACATTCTAAATAGACTAAAATTTTTCATTTGGAAGTTGTTTTTTTAAACAGGTTAGAAAATATGTTTTTGAGATTTTTTTTTTAATGCACAGATACTAGTTTTTATAGGTGACATAGTTAAATCATTTTGGGCAACAAAAGATTAGTTTTTAAATGTCTTACTAATCATAATGACTTTATGCTACATGAAACTAATATTGTTCTTAAATCCTCACTCAAGGTTCTAGGAAGGTTCAATATTAATATCAATAATAAATTAAATAAGTCCATATTTCAAATGTTGAAAATTTTTTTAATTTTTTGCAAACTATATGCTATCTATTTGAGTTGTCATTATATTATATATATAATATATTATAGATTATTATAGATTGTTATCATAATGTAGCTAAGAAGAACTTATACCAGGAGTATGTTCACATGATCATGTATTCCTCAGTCTGTAATTTCTTTACAAGAATATTTTGAGACTTCATCTATTATATAAAGATTAGTTCAGTTGAAACTAGATATTTTAATCCATTAGTCCTTTTAATCAGATTAATGTAAACTGCAATATGTTACAAATGTATAAGGGTATCAGTGTCAACTTCTCTCAGTTATGGAGCTGCCATCTTCCATCAGTATACCTCTTCACCTGTGACAGATAGACTATATGATACACAGTGAGGGTAACAGTGTCAATTCCTAGCTATAAAAGTATTCAGGTTTCAACCATATTCACTTAAAGGTCATACTCAACTTGCTTGTGCCCTATTTAATAATAACATCTTAAATTCTATGGTTATCCAGGAATTTTCTTTTACATTTTCTTCATTAATTAATAAAATTTTAACGTATCATCCAATTTTTCAGCTAAGCTCAGAGCCCCAACTCCAGTTTGTTAAGTATCACTTATTTAAGAAATGAGAAAACCTTTTTTTCTCGTTATTTACTCATATCTTTCTATATAATAATTCCCTTAATCTACTAGGATAAGATTAATATTAATGTTATTGAATATATAATTTATTAACAATTAAATTAGTAATATAACAAGGATAGAGAAATGTGCAATATTTCATTTGTGATAAAGAATATAGCCAGTATCTTCTCAAACTCTCACTGTAACTACAAATACGTTTTCTATATACAGTCCCAGAAGAGACTGCCAAAGATGGCTGAGTAGGGGGAAGCATGACAGCCCAGCTCTCTCCTAAAACTGTTCCAACAAAGACTCAAGACAAACATATGAATGGGTAGAGGAACAGATGGACTTAACTTTCATCTGAACAGGTAAAAGGAGTGGAAAATGTGCACACAATTACACATACAGACACATAAGCAATCATTCAATAAATATTTATTTAGAGCCTATTATGAGCCTACTGTGCTAAGCGCTAAGAATACAAAAAGAGACAAAAGATAGTCCCTGACCTCAAGGAACTCACAATTTAATGGGGGAGACAATATGCAAAGAAATATATACAAGCTTTGTGTGTCCATATATGTGTGTGTGTGTATATATGTATATATAAAATACACACAAAGAAATATATACAAAGTAAGGTTCATTATGAAATAACCAAAAGAGTAGCATATATACTTATATGTATATGTATGTACATATATAAAGCACTGAAATTAATAAGGACCAGGGAAAGTTTCCTATAGAAAGTGGGATTTTACTTAGGACTTAAAGAAATCGAGGGAACTCAATGGTCAGAGCAAAGGGAGAAGAGCATTCCAGGTATGGAGGATAGTCAGAGAAAATGCACAGAGCCAAGAAATGGAGTGTCTTGTTCAAGAAACCTCCAAGAGGCCAGTGTCAGTAGATCATAGAGTACCTCGCAGAGAATAAAGTATAAGAAGACTGGAAATATAGGATGGGCTAGATTATGAAGGATTTTGAATACCAGCACATTTTATATTTGCTCTTAGAGGCAGTAAATAGCCAACAGAGTTTATTGAGTGACATGATCTGGCAGGCAGCTAGGTGGCTCAGTGGATGGTGCACTGGGCCTAGAGTCAGGAAAACCTGAGTTCAAATCAACCCCAGACACTTTCTAGCTGTGTAATCCTGAGCAAGTCACTTAACTTCTGTTTGCCTTAATCCCTTGAAGAAGGAAATGGCAAAGGAAACTAATGGACAATATTGGTGTATTACGGTGCATGGTGAAAGAGATGATTATTAACAACCAATGACTAGAGAGATCAAGAGTCTCTCCTTTTTCCTCCTTTTTTCTATGGTCCTCATTTCAAAATACAGTCTCTTGAAGGACATTACTGATAATGAGATTACATTAACTCTCCTCAATCTTGCTCAGATCTCACCCAACCTTATAAAGAATTTAATTTAGAGTGGGGAAACCCATTGTATTCAACTCAGGTTTGGGTAGGGGATGAATTCTTCGATTAGATTGCCCAAAGCTGAGGGTAGTCTGGGTGTAGAGATAGTCTCTTTGTCCAAGAGTGATAGCCCCTCGTTGTAGTGAGCCCATTGCTCATCGTCATATTCATTCTCTCACTAATTTTTAACCCATCAGAGTTCATTGCCACCCTCTGGAATACCCACTTGTCCAAGGGCATTTAAGCCATGAGCCCACTGCCATGATTGTCTTTCGCATTTGAGAGTGCTACTGACCTCTTTTATTACAACATTAGCATTATTAATAAAGCAACTAAGTACCCAGAAACTACATCTCAAACTTTTCAAATGTCACAATGGGATCATGAAGAGTCAGACAAAGCTAAATAACAATAACATGTTCTGACTTTAGGAAAATCACTTTAATAGCTGGAAAGAGGATGGATTGGAATGAGTGGAGACTAGAAGAAGGCAAAACCCACCAGCAGGCTCTGGCAATAATCATGGTGTAAGGTGATGAGGGCCTGTACTAAAGTGATGGCCATTTCAGAGGAGAGAAGGGGGTGTATTCAAGACATGCTGCAAAGGTGAGATTGATAGGCCTTAGCAACACTTTTGGATATAGAGAAGTGACAGATAGTAAGGAATCAACCATGGCTGTGAACCTGAGGCATTTAGAGAATGGTATTGTCTATTTAGGATTTAGGGGGAAAGATAATGAGTTTTGTTTGGGACACAGTGAGTTAAAATGTCTACTGGATATCCAATTCAAGATGTCTGAAAGGCACTTGGAAATGTGAGAATTGAGATCAGCATAGAAATTGGAACAGGAAAGACAGATTTGAAAATCATCAGCATTGAGAGATAGTAATCAGCTCATGGGAGCTGATTCAGCAAGTGGTATAGGGGAAGAAAAGAAGATGGTCTAGGATAGAATGCTGAGGGACATTTATGATTAAAAGGCATGATCTGAAGAAGAATCCAGCAAAAGAGAATGAGAAGGAGCAGTAAGACAGGTATGAGGAAAACCGAGAGAGAGTGGTATCCCCAAAAACATGAAAAGCTGGAAGGGGTGATCAAGAATGTCAAAGGCAGCAGAGAGGTCAAGGAGAATGAGGATTGAGCAAAAGCCATTGGATTTGGCAACTAAGAGAGTGTTAATAACTTTTCAAGTACTTTTGCTACAAAGTACAGATGGTAGTAGGGATAAAATGCTCAAGTGAGGGTTTTTTCAGGAAAAGGGAAATGTGGGTATGTTTATGTGGGAAATGAATAGAAGTGGAGAGATTGAAAATAAGTGACAGAGAGAGGATGACAGAAAGAGCAATCTATTGAAGTGAATGGGATCACTTGAACAAGTAGAAGGGTTAGCCCTGGTAAGGCCACTTTATCTTGTGAAACAGGAATGAAGGAGGAAAAGAGACAGAAGGCACTTGACTGATAGGAGATGAAAAAAGAAAAGTAGAAGTTAATGAAAAATTGCCTCAATTTTTTCTGCAAAGTTTTCAGCTAAAGGGAGAGGAATCATGGGAGATTGAAAGAGGGACAAAAAAATTTGGAACAGCAGCTGTGGAGAGTGATATAATGAGTTGATAAGGGAGGTATAGGAAGGTTGCATAGCAGCACTGAGGGGACATAAATTTGTGGTGTACCCAGTCAGCATGATTGTGGAACTTTTTCTTCATTTCATTCAATAGCATATGTGTAGGTACAAAGGACTTTGAATGGTAGGAGTGATAGAAAGTTGGGATTTGTCAAGGCATAATTGGTGAAATGACCAAAAGAGAAAGACAGTGCAGAGTTGAACTGGGTCACCAGGGGGTCAAAATAGAAAGAAGAGGAGAGAGTGGATGGTGCAAGGGAGAAGGCCTGCGACAAGAGATTACAGGTCATGGCTCAGATGAAGACTAGGGTTATATAAGGGAAGGCAGAACTCTTCCTGTGAAAAAGGTGAAAATCCAAAACATTATGTCCAGAAGAGGTGATTTTTTTGGAATTTTTTTTTTTTAGGCAATTTGGGTTAAGTGACATGCCCAGTGTCACACAGCTAGTAAGTGATTTTTTTTGAATTCTTAAACATGGAGGCAATATATTTGTGGGGAATCAAGGGTGTGACCATCTTTGTGTGGCTGAGGTGGGATGTAAAATTAGCTCATGAGAGCCAAGTTGGTTGAGGAACTAAGTGATTATGGTATTTGAGGTAACAACATCATATGTATGTTAAAATCCTTTAGTATAAGGGCAGGAGTTAAGGAGAAGAGAAAAATTGTAAGTTAATATTGAACTCAATAAGAAATGAAGGGGAGTTATCTGGAGGTCTACAGACAATAACTATCAGTGTTTTTATTACAGGGTAGATATGAATAGCATGAAGCTCTAAGGAAGAGAGGTTACTGAGGACGAAGTGGGGAGAACCTGGAAGTGGCAATGGAGAGTAAGGAGTATCAGTTGGCTTGAAATAGAATACTTTAATTTTTTCTCTTTTTCTTAATCTTTTGATTTTGTTTTAAAATTTCTTGTTTGCTCAAGGAGTCATTAACTTCTGTTTTGTTCATTTGAATTTTCGGGTAATCAGTTACTTGTGTAAAATTCTGTACCTCGTATATTAAGCTCTTTGCAAGTCTTTCCTCTATTTCTCTAATTTCTTTTCTAATTCATTCCCCTTAGAAATCTTAGATTATTTAATCATTTAAAATTCTATTTTTGGAGTCTCTCACTTCATTTTTTCCAGAAGTGCTCTTTGACCTTCAGACCTAGCTGTATTTTTCTTTGAGGCCTCGGCTTTTGATATCTTGGAGTTTCTCACTTCTTTCAAATTTGTGTTTGGGGCATTCCTGGCTCCATAATATATCTTTTTATTGATCCTTTTTTTTTGCTTACTCATTCTTCCAGGTTTACTCCATGAATGGTACTTTGTGTGTTAGATAGTCTATACATTTCTAGTGAAAATATCAGGGCCTTAAATGCTCTTGATATGTATTTGGTTGTGTTCTGTCACTGTATTATCAAGGATCTCAAGGGTGGCTCATGCTAGGGAGCTACAGTCTTTAAGTGGTTCTAAACAGTCAGATTTAATGCATGGTCTAATTGTTTCCTTCCTAGTCTGACTTTGGTAGGCTCCAGACTCTGATTTTAATCTGGGCAACACAACTGCAGCTTTGCCCCTAGCTGGCACTCCAGTATACAGTGTTTGGCCCCAAACCCTGTCAATTACCTGGAAGTCGCTGAGATTCAAAGCAACAGAACTGTAGACCCATCTCCAACTAGTCATTCATTACAGTGACCGATTTTGTTCTTGAGTCATTGCAAGAGAGCTGAAGGTGCACCCTCATGCCATACTTATGAGCTAAGTTATCACTATTGCTCTAGAGTCAGAACTTCAAAACTATAGGGCCCCCTTCATCTGGTCACTTGTCTATGGGTTGTATCCACAATGTTTAACTGGAAAAATGACCCAATATGATTTATCCTTTGGATCCCATGACAACTTCTCACTCTATTGTTCTTCATCAATCTTTGTCGGAGTAGTTGTGAGAAACTGCTAAACTGTATTACTTCCTCTTACTCCACAATATTTGTTGGTCTCCTGTAAAATGTCTAATCAGTGACTACATTAGATATACTATCCTTAGATATGGCATCATCTCAAGTTCCTATCTGACTCTATAGACTCCCTCAAACATTCAGCAATAGCACACATTGCCTTCTTATTTCAAAACTTTGAACTTTCATTGGACCACTCAATAAATTTCCATTTCCTGTCTAACGGGTTTTTCTGATTTCTAGCTCATTTGCTGAACAAGGTTGAACACAAGTCAGGTTAGCAGCTTCGGTCATTTCATTCTTTTCTTTTTTTTTATGTATATTTATTTTTACTTTTCAACCTTCACTTCCACAAGTTTTTGAGCTCCAAATTTTCACCGCATCT